GTGCGAGCAAGAACCAATGAGCACAGACCATAGATTTGAGCAGACTTCTTGGAGACCTGATTTATTCTGATACAGATTCTTGGGTAAATCTCCGGTCAGAACTTCCTGTGGCTTAAATCATATCAAGCAGTTCCATGTTCACTCTTACCTGCTTTTATTTCACTTTCCTGGAGGTGAGACTATTGCGTTCAAACATAAAATACCAAAGTTACACCAATTTCACTGTCATTTATTATTATTATGTAAGTACAGCACAGAGTAGATCCAGATCCACACCATTAATTATCTGCGTGTGCGCTGCGTGTGCTCTGCGTGTGCTCTGCGTGTGCTCTGCGTGTGCGCTGCGTGTGCGCTGCGTGTGCTGTTTGTAAAAGGCTTTTGTGTTATTCCTAGTGGAGTTAACACAATGCTAATCAGATTTGTATGCTAGCTGTCTCCACTGCATATTTTCCGGAGAGGCGTTGGAAGGTGGGGGGTCTGATAGGGATTAACAACACTGCACCGAGGGCTTACATTTACATTTAACATTTAAGATTGCTAATTGCCTGCAGTTTATTTAAGATAGACGGAACCGGCTTTAGGGGTTTTGTCATTTTGGTCTCACCTGTCTACAGTATTTTCTTCATATATTGGATGCTTTGCTTTGCTTTAATTACATTTTATTGGATAATCTTCCCCAAAGGCAAGCTTTATTTTAGTGCATGGCTAATAGTCCTCCAGAATGACCACTAGCCTCTTGGACGCATCTCTGAACGATTGAACGAAAAATACACAGACCATTATCCTTGTTCAAACTGCTCATCTAGGTAGATGGCTGTGTTCTGCTAAATGTTTCATCCTACATCACATCTCTCTCTTAATATTTCTGTGCACTGTCCCTTTCAAATAAAGACTAAACTAAACTACAACCAACGGATAAAAAGAGTTGTAGAATCTCTCTAAAGACCTCTTCATGGCCTTCACCTGCACTGACCAGTCCCAGTATCTATATGACTGGACCACTTCCATGTTCTGTGCCGTCGTGCTCTTTCCTGGAGTCTGGATAATTGAGAGAGTTGTTGCTGCTGAGGAAGCATTTCTCGTGTTTTATCTTAGCTCGGTGTTTCTGTCGGAATCCTGCTCAAAGTTGATTTATGTGGCACTTATGTTGTTGAAAAAAAAGTGTTTATTGGCCAAGGCTGTTTAAGGAAGGGTCAGGACATTCTTCCACTCATCACAGATTGTTTTTTTTCCCCTAGTTCTGGCAGAAGCGACGAGTCGACGAGATGATATCAAGAATAAGACAATCTCCCTTCTGCAACACAGTATAACCGAGTGTTCGAGTGACCTGTCAGGAAGTACTGCTGATACTTAGGAAGTAACCACTGCTCATAAATGACATGTTTCTAAAGCAGAGACATGGAAGACGCAGGTGTATTTTACCTGTGTTTTCCATGTTTTGTCCTAATTATTAGAGGATTTTGTTTACTTACGACTGCAAAAAGGAGTAACTCTCTACCTGTTCGTTGGGAGTAAAAGTATCTCTCCAATTGAAAAAGGTTGGAGACCCCTGGTCTATCCTATCAAAGACTTGATTTGCGTTGTTAAATCCAGACAGGACTTTAATTAATCCAAAAATGCACGTATTGATTCCGGGGTTTAGTTTTCTTGTCAATATGACCACATAATCTGTCAGCTGTTCAATCTGCTTCTCTGTGATCTCTCCCACCGCCACATGGTCCCGATGAGACCAGACATTGATTTCGATGTGCAGAGCTCAGTTTGAAAGCTGTTCGCGATAACAAAAGTGGCTCAAAATGAGTCAAAAAGAGATAGACCAGTCTTTGTGAAGCTGTAGATGAGGTCTAAGGGAAAATCTCCTTTCAGCCCACGTGAATTTACGCTGCAGTACCACCGGTGGCCACTTGTCCGTGTGGAGACAGGTTTAAACACCAACACCGTATGCAGATCATATAACACTGTACAGATTCTATCCAGGTTTAGAGCTTCAGCATTTCTTCATGGACCTCATACAACATAAGCAAAAATAATCACACAGACCCAGGACACTCAACATTCAACAACATTTATCGACTTTATCAACATTTATGGACCAATGGCTCTATGTGTTTTTTATAGGGCTGTCAAAATTATCGCGTTAATTACCGTTAATTACCGTTTTCATTAACGCGTTAAAAAATAATTAACGCATTAACTGCCATTGACGTGTTAAGACGTCAATTGCGTTTCCCGCTATTTTCACGTTCCCAGATGTCTATTGTATCAAATATGTAAGGCTTGAGGCAATATTTTATTGAGCCAGCAGATGGCAGCATTGCTCTATGAATGGTTTGAAAACAGCTAGAAGCTAGATAAGATAATAAAACTTACCTCTACTCGACTGGGGATTACAGGGGAACGAAACAAGCTAGAAACTAAATTATTTTTGCTGATGAAAGTAGACAGTCCATTCTTTCAGAATTTAGATAGTCATAGTACACAATATTCTGTGGGTCTTAAAAATTCAGTAAAAATCATCAGAAACAGCTGGCAATATGGAAGTTCTGAAATAGGCTGGCAGTCAATCACATGTCCGAATGACCCGCCCATTTATAAAAATATCAATCAGAATGCCGTGGACACGTGCGTGTGTGATGGTGACAGCGGTAACGTGGTCATATAATACACGCATATATATATATATATACGCACAGGGGCCATTCTCTGATGTTGTGTGACACACGGAGGAGAGGAGGAGACACGCTGAAATGCAACCAAACTCGCAAAATCAAAGCTGGGGTACCTACATTTTCCCTTTCATTAAAAGCTCTTGTTGGTTGTACCCGAAAGTAGAAGGTTGTGAGCAAGTCAAACAGATTTAAGTACATTTGGTATCAATAACAATGTGTCATTACATTTGAAAATGTCATTTAACTTCAATTGGAGTGGATTTGAAATAGAATGTTAAAAATGCGATTAATCGTGAGTTAACGCACCATTACTATGCGATTAATCAACTAAAAAAAATTAATCGTTTGACAGCCCTAGTTTTTTATCAATGCATTTCTTGTGTTTGAACTGTTTGATTCTCTGATCTGTGTTGGCAACGGTTGTGATTTAGGGAAACACAAAAATACATTGAAATGGGCGTATTATTGTGAAAGTAATAATTTTTGAAAAGCACTTTGAAACGGCAACTTTTGTGCATATATTCTCTACACACAGACATTATGTTGTTAGTACAATAATGTCCGTGTGTTGTTTCAGCCTTTTAAATTATTCCTATAAATTCCAAAAATGTAAACACAACAAACATAGCATCTTAAAAGATACACGGCTCACTCCCACTTAACCTAATGTAGCACCTCCAGATGTGTTTGCAAGTGTAAGGTGCGTTATAAAGATACAATACATTATTATTGTTATTATTACTACTCTTTCAGTTAATAATAAAAGTAGAAAAATCTGTTGCTGAAATTATATGCATTTATATAATTCATTTGTTATGAAATTTACAGGGGAATCTTTATGTCTGTCTTGTCTCAGTTCTCTCTTTTTCCACCTCATATTCCCGCTAAATGTTGCTTTTATTAAAAAAGAAACCTCAGTCTTTTCTCTTGCACATAGACATCAGCCTCCCACATCAGCAGATATGTCAAGTCAGCAGTGAATGGTGAGAAAGGCCGGTTCAGCCCAAGGAGATTATGATGAGCACATAAAAAAGGTTCCAGTCATGTGTTTTTACTCTCTTTAAAGATGCTATACCCGATTTTTTTTCTAATGAGTTTATAAAAATGCTTATTACTACATACAAGTTGTATTATAGTCTGTAATTTCATTGAAAACTTGAGCTCATTGTTTCAGCTTAGCGTGACCCCGGATCACCTCCAATCACAGAACGAGGCTGCGTCCTCTAGCCTCTACAGCGCTGCTAAACACAGTAGCATGTTAGCATAAGTGGCTATAACTCCTCTGGCTGTAACTGCAGACACAGCAAAACAGTCCAAACGAAGCAACAGAGAGGAAGAGAAGAGGGAACTAAAGCAAAAACATGATCAAAGAAGAAACCAGGCCCAGGTGAACATAGCTAGCTTACATCGTATCCTCTGGAGAGACTTGTCTATGGGAGAGACCGGCGGGACCGCCTCGAACTATCTATGCTCGGACTATCTGTGCTCGAACTATCTATGCTCGGACTATCTGTGCTCGGACTATCTGTGCTCGGACTATCTGTGCTCGGACTATCTATGCTCGGACTATCTACGCTCGGACTGTCTATGCTCGGACTATCTACGCTCACACTATCTACGCTCGGACTATCTACGCTCACACTATCTACGCTCGGACTATCTACGCTCGGACTATCTACGCTCGGACTATCTACGCTCACACTATCTACGCTCGGACTATCTACGCTCGGACTATCTACGCTCGGACTATCTACGCTCGGACTATCTACGCCCGGACTATCTGCGCTCGGACTATCTGCGCTCGGACTATCTACGCTCGGACTATCTACGCTCGGACTATCTACGCTCGGACTATCTACGCTCGGACTATCTACGCTCGGACTATCTACGCTCGGACTATCTACGCTCGGACTATCTACGCCCGGACTATCTACGCCCGGACTATCTGTGCTCGGACTATCTGCGCTCGGACTATCTGCGCTCGGACTATCTACGCTCGGACTATCTACGCTCGGACTATCTACGCTCGGACTATCTACGCTCGGACTATCTACGCTCGGACTATCTACGCTCGGACTATCTACGCTCGGACTATCTACGCTTGGACTATCTACGCTCGGACTATCGTGCTTTTTTTGTTGGTTGTATAGAAAAAATTTTGGAAGTAGTTGAGGCATTTTTTTTTTTTATTGTCATTGCCATCTGCCATGAGTTGTCAGAATTTGAAATAATGCTAAAAAAAGACAATTATATAAAAAATAAAATAAAATGTCCTTTACTGATTTGTGTATCTTGTGTGTTGTATTAAAGTAGTAGATAAAAACGTGTGCATTACCTGTAGATGATGCAGGCACAGTCCCTGCAGGTGCCACAGTTTTCAATGTCCTGTCCAGTTCTGTACAAATGTCTTCTGTGGACAAGCATTGAGATCACATATCAGGGGTAAAGGAAACACTTTTCTTTATGTGTCCTTGTGCGTGTTTGCATAATGTACATGTGCAGTGAAATTACCCTAGTTTTTTTTTTTTTAAATGTCCCCACAGTGGGACGAATACAGGAACTCTTGTATCTAATGGTTTCCTCGACCATTTGGTGGATGGTTTTGAGACACTATATGTGCTTGAAGCTTGGAACTGAAATCTACCTCATCAGAGAGAGAGCAGAGAGAGAGAGAGAGAGAGAGAGAGAGAGAGAGGGAGAGAGCAGAGAGAAACCATAGAGAGAGCAGAGAGAGAGACAAGAGAAAGAGAGCAGAGAGAGAAACCAGAGAGAGAGAGAGCAGAGAGAGAGCAGAGCAGAGAGAGAGCAGAGAGAGAAACCAGAGAGAGAGCAGAGAGAGACCAGAGAGAGACTGGACAAAGAGATCAGAGAGAGACAAGATAGAAAGAGAAGGAGAGACCAGAGACAGAAACCAGAGAGAGAGAGAGCAGAGAGAGAGCCACACAGAGAGACCAGACAGAGAGAGAGAGACCAGAGAGAGAAAGAGAGACCAGAGAGAGACCAGAGAGAGAAAGAGAGACCAGAGAGAGACCAGAGAGAGACCAGAGAGAGAAAGAGAGACCAGAGAGAGACCAGAGAGAGACCAGAGAGAGACCAGAGAGAGAAAGAGAGACCAGAGAGAGACCAGAGAGAGAGAAATCTTGGTTTCATGTACTTTTACTATCAAGCTGCATCTCAATCATTTGGTAAATACTAGAGGTTCGACCAACAAAGGAAAATATGTGGTGAATTATCATGTCGTAATTTAAATCAATATAATAAATAAAGTGCTTTTACATTTAGATAAAATCAAAATAATAAATAATTACATTGCTTCCTTAGTGGAGAGTACATCAAAGGGTTAAACTACATTTCTCTCCAAAAAATACAATCTACAAATCTCTGCAGAAATCAAGCCTGATTCATTTTCAGCGATACCTCGTCCAACCAGCTCATGCAGTTACATAAACCGTGACTCACTATCTCTCTTCAGGCACAATATCGTGCTTATAATGCATCAGACCCTCAACACTAAATAGTTACACAAGATGCTCTTCTGTGTCACATGTCTCAGGCACTAGTCATTATTTAGACACATATTCAGACTGATCGCTCAAACTAAACAAGCTAATACGACACGGTATCATCTGTCTCTTTGTTCATTAAGTCTCGGTGTAGACATTATTCAATCCAGCAGCTTTCATTGCATCATTGTACTGATTTCTGATAACATGTTTTTTGAAGAATTGTACTAACGTCTCATTTGATAGACTGTCTTGCAAACTATTTTCTGTTAGAGTAAACTGAAAAGCTATAGTTGTAAAGGCAAAATATGTATAATTCTGTGTTTTCATACTGATGGGAATTCTTGTTTTTCTACAAAAATCAGTTGAACAATCTCCCTTCAGGTTTATAATTCTAATTTCATGAAGCACGTATTATTATTTTCACGTTGAAAACATGATTTTTTAAGCTATGGCTTTTGCCTTTGGTTCAATGAATGTGTGAGAGATACACATTTCCAAACATTTTTGATCAGAATCAGAAATGTTGGAACTAACCAGGGTATTACATCATTTATTTTAAAGCCAGGGAACAAACATTTATTTTCTTAAGAAATGTAAATGGTGATTTGTGCAAAAACTGGAATAAACACAGATCATTTTAAGAAACATGTGTTTCACTGAAACACAAATAAACTTTGGGCTGAGAACTGAAGCAGGAGTGATCCATCCTGATGCAGCTGCTCTTTGGTCGTGGCAAATCCTTCTGTATGAGAAAACATGTTCAATTTCAATGAACTCTTCCACTGTTTGGAAGATTTCAGGTACCCCAGCTTTAAATTTAAATCAAAGTGAAATATTATCTCACCCATCTCGCACAGCTTCTTTCTTTTCCAGGTCTTGTATGACATCCAGCAGGATCTTGATGGTGTTCTGGCTCGTCTCCAGGACTCCCTCCAAGCTCTGAAGCTGGGTTTGCAGGCTACGAATGTCGCGCAATGGTCCATTGGGACTCAGCAGCCGTTCTGTGACTTTAGCTGGGTCCAATTTACACTTGGCTCCAGACATCAACCCCCCCAAAATCTCCTGGACCTGTCTTAGTGTGTCGGCTTGGGCGGGGGTCAATGGTCCAGCTGTAGAACGTTCCGTGGGAACAGAGCACCTCCTTACCCTACAGCGGCCTTGCTGATTCTGAGGAAGAGGAAACTGACAGGGGGTGTTGGGCCTGGGTCTTGCGCCTGAGCAGAGCATTTTGTGTAAGACCCCCAGTTGAGCATGAGCAGAATTCAGACAGCTGGACTTGAAGCAGGCCTTAGCAGGAGAGCTCTTCATGAGAGCCATCGGTGGAGTTTGGGCCCTGTGCTTCAGAGAGCTGGATTTCCCACTCTGCTTGGGCGTATCTTTGCACTTTACATCCTCTTTAATGTCTTTGCCTTCGTTTTTGTCTTTCTCAGTGGTCTTGTTGTCAGTCCTGAGCACAGAGATTTGGGACGTAGGCTGATCTTTGTTTTTACGTGGAGTGTAAGGAGGAGGAGGTGGTGGCGGAGGAGGCGGAAGCCGAACGCCCCTCTTTACCTGAGTCTGACAAGGGGGTGTGTAAGGTGGTGCGGCACGAAATGTGGAAGAGTATAATGGAGCAGTTTTAGTTGGTGTTACACACTGCTGCATAATTGGAAGACTGGACGTGTAAGTTTTCACTAGTATAGGTTGAGTTGTGCAAGATTTGAGTTTAGGAACAGGTGACGAGAAAGGGGTTATTTTGGAGCTAACAGTATTTTGCAAAACATGGCATGGTATGTTACAATGTGATACAGTTTGTAAAAGAGTGGCATACGCTGGGGGCAGAATGTGTGATTGAGGGCCAGTGGGGCCGACTGGATGTGAAGTAGTATAATAGGATATCGATGTGCAAGATATGGCAGTTTGAGTTACAAATGTAAACGGAGCCACATTCGTAGGTGATGTCGCATTTGGCAGTAGAGATATTACATTAACAGGGGTGGGTATATGCCTTGTCATATCGGTTACATTGGGGGACGCAATGGGAGAATTTCTTGGAACGGGGCTTGGAGCAGAGCATGTTAACAATAGCGGTGGATCGATGTTTGAAACTTGTGTAGTACAGTCTTGAATCATTGACAATGACGCACTACAAGAAAAAACTGGAAGAATCACATCAGAGGGAGACACAACAGAACAATTTGGAATAGGGATTGCTGAAACATCGGGGGTTGGAGAAGAGAAAGCAGGCGTTGCAGACACCAGTGTCACACTCGGAGGCTCAGAGACTAGTGCATCAATAGAAGCCATTGGATGCACGGTAAGATCGGGACCTATAGAATGTGGCATGTCAACAGTGGTCATCGGATGTGTGGTAAGATTGGGAGCTAGAGAATGTGGCATGTCAAAATTAGCCATTGGACAAGTTTTCACGTTGGAGGCTACAGAATGTGGTTTAGCAACAGCAGCCATTGGATGTGTTTTAAGAATTGGAGCTATAGAATTTGGTGTATCAACTGAAGCCATTGAATGTGTTGTAATATTGGTGACTAGTGAATGTGGTATATCAACGGTAGTCATTGGATGTGTGGTAAGGTCTGAAGCTAAAGAATGTGGTTTTGCAACAGCAGCCATTGGGCATGTTTTAACATTGGGGGCTATAGAATGTGGCATGTCAACAATAGCCATGGAGCAAGTTGTAACATCGGGGGCTACAGAATTTGGTTTAGCAACAGTAGCCATTGGATGTGTTGCAGGATCTGGGGCTATAGAATGAGGCATGTCAACGGTAGCCATTGGATGTGTTGTAATGTTGGGGCCTATAGAATGTGGCATGTTAATAGTAGCCGTTGGGCAAGTTATAACCTTGGGTGCTACAGAATGTGGTTTAGAAACACCAGTCATTGAATGTGTTGTAGAATCAAGGCCTATAGAATGTGGTTTAGCAACACTGACAATTGAGTTTGTTGTAATTTTGGGAGCTGTAGAATTTGGCCTATCAACAGTAGGTATTGGGAATGTTTTAACATCGGGGGATACAGAATGTGATATATCAACAGCAGCCATTGGATGTTTTGTAAGATTATAGGCAATAGAAAGTGGAATTTCAACAGTTGCCACGGAGCAAGTTGTAAGATTGGGGGTTACAGAGTGGGTTGTAACGACAGATGGAGGAGCTGTAATAACAGTAGATGCAGAGTATGGCGATACAGCAGTACTGCCTTTGGTGTCAGAGCAAAGTGAAGCAGCTCGGGTTGCACATTGTGGTGTGACAACGGAGGCGACAGAATTTGCGATACTCTCTTTGATCGCGGATTGTTGCGTAAGAACAGGAGTTACAGAGTCTAGTGTGGTTGCAGTAGAGCAAGGACCAGACACAAAGTGTTCCACTGAATCAGAACATATAGGTTTATCTACTGAAAAATAAGCCATATTTGTACTATTTGAAGAAACATGTGTGGGTAAACATGGTGATACTTTATCCAAATGGTAAGGCACGGTTTTATTTGAAATAGAATCTCGGTCCTTCACAAATGAAGAATCTGCGTTCTCAGATCTAATTTGCAATGTGTCCACTGACGATGTTGGCAAGACTTCGGAAGCACACAGGCTTTTTGATTGTGACTGGGTAGCGCAATGTTCAACTGAAGGAGCCGGAGAGTGACGGGAAGTAGACTTCGTTTTGGTTGCACCGAGCCTATGGTTGGGAGGTAGGGTTGGGCGATTTACTGGAGATGACTGAGAGTGGCGTTCCGCTTGACTTTGGGTGCTGGAGGACTTCACTGTGCCTGGATTTGTAGAGGGACCCTCAGTTTGAACTTGAGTTGTACACAGTTTAGTATTCAATCGAGGCGGTGACAGACTACGGCTCTCAGTCTGTGTAGGGGTAGTACAGTAATGCACTTCCTTTCCAGGATCACTGGTAGTACGACTGAAACGTTTTCTCCTTCGGACTAATGAAGGGGTGCTGCTACCCGGGCGCTTGGGACCCACTTGAGAAGAAACAGTGGAACAGTGACAAGGCTCAGAGTTACAGACTGAAAGAGGGCTGATGTGCCTTGAATTCTTTACAACACTAACAGCTGATTTCATTTCTGTCCTGGCTTTTGACCTCTGTTCTATGATATTTTGCTCTGTGCAGCCCGACGTACCATTAAGATCTTTGGGTCTATGAGCCAACATGTGATTGTGAAAAAAGTTTTCATCCTGGGAGTCATGTTCGTCATCACCGTCGATGCCAACTGAGTCTCCAAGGCTGTGGCTACGTGCGTGAGTGGAGAGGGGCTTTTTTAGACAAGGGGAAGTCTGAATTGCTGTGCTGGTGCTGGGCTTCCGTGTCATTGGCAAGGTTAATGAATTGGCCTGAGGAGGAGTCCAGCATCTGCGTGTTGGACCTGGTGTTAGCGGGTGAGGTGGAGCTCTAGCTAAGAATGCAGCCACTACCTCTATGGTACTGGCCATGTCTCCGCGCACAGCTCCGACCACAGAAGTTTGGCCTGGTAGACTGCTAATGTGTGGTTCATCCGCCCAAGGCAGAGGAGTCCTGCTTACATGTTTACGCACAGGGTGTGGACTCGAACAATCTGTAGAAGTCCTTTGATTGCTATGGTTTTCACCCGTCCCACTGTTTCCACTGCTGCTACTACCATCTTCCAAATCTTTAAATCTGACTTGGTGAGTACGGTTACGACGCTTCTTAAGACGACTCTCAATATCAGGGGAGTCCCGATTGAGAAGAACAGAACGCACTGTCATAGTTGCAGGCAGCTTGTCTGCCAAGGTGGTCCTGCTATTTGTTTGGCCTGGGAGCAAGCGACTTGGCTCCTTGCTCACCATTTCTCCTTTTTCGCTTGGTCACCTAACAATCACAGAATGACTATTAGGTGTAGGCAGAGTCCGCTTGATTATCCATCATTGACTAATCTTTTACATGTGGCACCAGTAATTACCCTGTTCTAAAGCAAACAGGGAAATACTTGTTGGTTTTTAAGATTGTGCCATGTGGAATTTAAAAAAACAGTTTTGTCAACGAGATTATTGAAAAAATATGAAGATCAAAGTCCTGTATGTAATGGAACCATCTGCCATTTCATTGTCTCTGTTTTGAGAGTTGCCAATGTTGTCACAAAAATTAGTTCTTTAGTATCCTTTTTTTCAACGTCCAGGGATAGAAACTCAAAGAACACAAAGTAATCGGCAGCACATTTTCAGACAATTGTCAAGTCAGGCCATGCTTTCGTTGTTATATCTCATTGGCCCATCTTCTGCCGATCCCAGGGTCCAACAATAACGGTATCACTTTAAGGTATAAGATTTTCCAAAATTGTTTTTCTCTTTCGATCATAATTCCATCTCTTTGTCAGTCTGAATGGCTCTCCTCATGGCTCCCAGCTCTGTGAAGAGAACAAAAAAAACATGAGTAGAGGTAAGGTATAACACATTGTAGGTGTCTTTTTCTACACACCACAACAATAGAATGCAGACAGGTCAGACTCAGGGCGGGACCTCCGCCTTAGGTCATCTGCCCAAGTTATTAACGGCCCAAAAATATGAGCTTTGTGGAGAATGACAATGCTATGGGAAATGGGATTTGCCATAGCATAGCATTGAATGAGATTCCGAAAAGACATCCTGTTTCCTGAACCAGAATCTAGGAGCAATAGTAGTAGTAGAAAAAGCTCGATGAGAAGTGACTCATATGAAGCAAAAGCGGTAATTCAGACTGGAAGACAGGAAGAACTACTTTGACCGATCACAGCGATGTAGTCCTCCCACTGATGCTTCAAGGCAAAAGCAATCTCTCAATCACACGCCAATCCTCACCTGCAGCAATCAGGCACCGCCCACATCAAGCTTCATATCTCGAGGAAGCTCCATCCAAGCAGTAGCTTCATTCACGCTGCAACCCTCCTCCTCCCCATCTCCGCCTCATTCCAGGCCAGCTATATCATCCTTCTCCTCGCTACTATCACCACGGGTTAGACAATGTCGCGGGGGATTTCATCTCATGATCTCTTTCCCCTTCAGCAACCGTGCAGTGACCTGCGGGGTCAAAGCACCAAATCCTAGCCACATTTCTGTACAGCAGCAATAAATGTAATCTTGAAAATAGAGTCAGAGTCACATGTGTAATCTATGTAGTGTCAGATTACTATCAACCAATATACAATTCTAATAAAACCCACAATTGTCTCTCCAGATTGAAATGCAGCCTCGCGGAAATTCAATTTGGAGGACGTCAGCAAAGCCACCCCTTCCAGGCCGGCCTCGCAGCCCCAGCCTATCGCACAGCAAACGCCCATTTCCAACCAACCTACGCCGGCCAGGCCAGCCGCTTAAAA